AGAGAGAGAGAGAGAGAGAGAGAGAGAGAGTGATAGAGAAAAAAAACAATAAATCTATAGAGAGAAGGATGAAAGGGGTGAGATTTTTTTTCACACCGCGATATTCATAACGGATGAAGATGGAAAGAGGGATTCGAGAACAAGTGCAGCTAAGTTCGTCGATGAACTTTCGAAAGAGTGTATTATGTGGTTACTTTTTTTTTTTTCTCTCTCTCTCTCTCAATGGTAACGGTGGATGGAACGTAATTTTGAACGAGGTGGTTCGATTTAATCGGATTTTGATCGAGTTTTAATGCGATGATACGTGGCCATGATTGTTTGATAATTAGATAGTTATAGTTTTTGCATTTACGTTTTGAATTTTCGCAAATTCAATTTGTGATTATTAATCGATCGATCGTGGCTTCGTGGTTTCAATTAGGGAAATTTAAGTTCTCTTTAGAAATAATCATTATTATTGAAATTTGCTTAGAATTTTCTTTCGAAAAGAAATTTCTCTTCCCTTTTTAAATCAAGTATTTTGTACAATGGTTTCTTCTCCAAGTTTTAATCTTGCTGATAAAAAAATATAATAATAATAATAAGAAAGAGAGAACGATTTTCGAGATCGAAACGAGTTATTTTTCCTGGAAAAATCTCAGAACAAGCGCGGCACGCGCGTTTTAACGATGAAAACGCAGTCAAACAAAACGGAAGCGCGTTTTTCTTCCCAAGAAAGCGCAAAGAGGAGAAAAGGAAGTTGGCTGAAGTGAATCACTTCGAGGAGTTGATGGTGTCTTTGACTCGCCACACATCAGTTTTTCCTGCTCTTCACACGGAAACTTATTTCTCCACGTAATTACCCAGGTGAATACGCGTGCACGATGCAATCTACCCGGCTATAACCACGTCCGCTCGTAACTTCTCTTAAAATATTAACAATCGCGTTGCGGCTGACACCTGTAGAATTTAAAAGTACAAAGAAGAAAAAATTCAAAATGACGATAATCTCTGCATTAAAATTTCAATTTTCAATTCGATGTAATATTATTGCATTCGATTCCACTTCGATTCAGAATCATTGTCGATTAATCGAAATTTTATTGAAAAAAATTTGCTCTGATAGAAAATCAGAATACGAATAATAATTAAAAAATATAAATACAACATTTTCATACAAAAGGAAAAAATGGAAGACGAAAAGAGGATTGTTTTAAAAATACTAATATAAAGGTTTAATCTTCTCGATAAAAATTTCTTTTATATAGTTGTTACAATATAATAATAATAACAACAAATCCTCACAATTTTTTAAAATTCTCAAATTCTTAAACCCTCGAAGAACGAACGAATATTCACGCGCCAATAAATCGTTCTGAAAATAAGGATAACTTATATTAATCTGGTTCCGTTCTCGTTTTATGCGCACAGATGATGAAACATGGCTGGGACAACTACGTGAGGTACGCCTGGGGGAAGAACGAGCTGAGACCGATCTCGAAGAGGGGTCACAGCGCAAGCATCTTCGGCGCGTCGAACATGGGGGCGACCATCGTCGATGGCCTCGACACTCTGTACATCATGGGCCTTCACGACGAATTCAAGCAAGGCCGGGACTGGATAGCCGAGAACCTCGACTTCGATATCGTGAGTACCTAATTTTACTTCCCCATTCTCTTCCAATCGAATACAAATTATTCTACAAACGGTTAAGTTGAAAAGTATCTATCTCGAAATCGTGGATCCAGAATTTCTGGATACTAATTGAAACGACATTTATAAATATATATTTTAGAATGAGTATATATGAGTATATATATTTTTAATTTTTAGAATTTATTTTAAATTTAATTCGAAGTATGCGAAGTTTTATTTTTCCGAATAAATCGGCGCGATCATTGATCCATAAAGGTCGTTCCGCACGCGCTCGTCCAAAGCAATTTTATCGAACGGGTTGGAAATCCGAACTCGCGCGTCTAAATCCACGATGACGATTTTTCCTTTCCTCCAAACTTCGTGGAAATGTGTTTACTCTCTGGTCGATGGCCGTAAGACGTCGCTATTCGAAGGAGAAGTGAATCGGGTGTCGAGACAGCCCGATCATCCTCCAAAATCCTCGAATCGACAATTTTTGAGCAGCTATTTTGAAAAAGGGAGTGGAATATCTTAGGAATATAAGTAAGTTTTTTTTTTTTTTTTTAATTCTGAGAACCTGTGAATATACTCGAATTCATCGTTCTTACGCATAAATAGAATTCGAAAGCAGAGAGAAAAATAAAAATCGATAAATTAATAAAAGCAAATCGAGGAGAATGATGATTGACGTTTCAAAGATGGTCAAATTTTTATCGAGTATAGTAACATTTTCGTGCCAAGGAACGGGGAGGGCGATATGAACGTTCAATCTTGAACAAAGAGGCCAAGATATATTACGCGAAGTCGTTGACAGAATGCGAGAGGCAGGAATGAGCAAATAGAAATAAGAAAAACAAGGGGTTCACAGGGGGAGAGTTCGTCCCTGGGAGAGTTCCCACGGGGATTCAAAGGTAATCCTTTGAGAATCGAGACCGTTCAAGGGAAGGAAGGAGGGATCGAACAAATATTCCACGACCTTGACGGACAATGAAAATCTTATCTGCAGAGAGCAGCAGCCGCGTTGAAACGCTTTAAATCCTAATCCCAGGTCGGGGGTACAATCTTCAATCTTCTATATTTTACACGGCTGTCGGATTAATTCTCGCCTGGAAATCATATCATCGAGAACTTTTGTATCAGGCGTATCGTAGAATACGTGAAAATATCCAATTTTTTATTATTATTATTATTATATATATATTCCTTCTAAAATATATTTCTTTTAGATTAAGATACGATTCGACAAGAAAAGATTCCGCGATGAATTATTCTGCTGGGAGTGAAACTTGCCAGTTGGAACGTCAAGTCAAAGAAAAGAAAATTCAAATTTAAAAGGAAAATACCATCCATTTATTTAAATTCGATATCGAGAAAAAAGAATCGAAGTAAAGAATTGAATATTTCTAGGGGGGAGGAAGAAACAAATGTCCAGGAGAAACTGTTTCTCGTTTCAAATCGATATCTCGAATTAACAATTGCCCGGATATAATAGGATGGAAGCGTTTTAATATTGGAAGCGTGCTAAAATTTCTGAATGGCGGACGAAAATCGCGTGACCTATATTGTTTCCTGAAATCGCGTACGTCGCGTAGTAATGGTAGTGGTGGGGGGAAAAAAAGTGCTGATTCAGCGTCTGCCGTTGACCAGGGCAAGGGCGCCTGCGGTTGGGATAGGTCAGTGACAGCAAGTAGCGAGAGAGGAGCGGGAAAGAAACGTAAACGAAAGGGAACAATTATCATATTTCGTTTGGAAATATCTCGGGCTATATCTCGGGTTGGTCGTATCGATTTGAAACAAAAAAAGGGAAGAATATATTCTGACGCGTTTCTTTTTTTACAAAATTTTCTCTTTCGAAGAAGAAAGATGATTCTTGTTGATTGAAATTTGCTTCTCGATTATTTATGGTTGAATCGTTAAAAAAAGTTTGGCAAAAGCTGAAAAGAAATTATATTTTGCGTTTACATGAATGGATTATTAAAAGAATATTTGATATCGTGAATTTAATTTCTTTTTTTTATTTTTAAAAAAAATATTAATTGAAAATAAAATAGGTATTATTCCTGAACGAGTTCAAAAAGTTTTTTTTAAGCGAATTAAATATGTCAATATGCGGGATACAAAGACATTGTTTCACAGAATAGAATATTAAATACGTAGTAAAAAAAAAAAAAAAACGATGTGTACAGCGATTGATATTCAATTTAAAATTTTTTATTTCTTCTAGTTCACTCTTCTGTAATAAAAAATAGTATTATCCTCCTCGCGTACCTTTTGCCTCTATGGCGATATTAATATCAACATTCTTTTGTCGACGTTTGCTCTTTCACCCGGTTGATAAATGAAAAATTCCTCGATATAATATACATTGACTATTCTCGTTTCGTTAATATCGAGAAACGAGTATTGGCTCGTTAAATTATTTTATAATTTACGCGTCGTCGTCCATTTTATTTATTTATTTATTTTTTTATAGATTTATTATCACATAACTAATATTAGTAAGTATTATTTCCATAGAAAATTACTCTTTTCCTTTTAATTCTTTTTTATTATTAACACCAACAACAAATTATTCTCTCTTCAAAAATATTTCCTTAACGTCGCAACAAACATGTACGAAACATGTTATCGCACCTTAACAAAACAGGCAAAAACAAGCACACCCAAGATGCACAAATTTCGATCCATCTCCCAACTCGACAACTCCTTCCATATTGGCCTACCATAAACACCTCGTTATGGTTCTAAACATTTCAACATCCTTAAACATCCCTTAGACTTCGATAAAGAAACTCATCTTAATTTTTAATTTCCAAAATGTGTCATCGATGACGATTGTCCCAAATATTCGAGGTTTCGATTAACAATTCAATTGTTACATCCTGCTCTCCGTTAATTAACCTAATCGTTATGTAAATCGATGTGGTGGATCATTCCTTGAAACGAGAAGAGAGAGAGGGAGGGAGAGAATAAACTTCGTTTTCGTCGGTAGGCAACCAATAGCCAGGAGAACTTAGCTCGGTTTATCCCAACTTGGTAACAGCCACCGTTACTTCTGCGAAACTCTCCAAACCGCCCAACCGATTCTCACCCCAGCATGACCATCCCTCCGGTATTAGGGGGCGTATTCCTAAGTGGATAAGTTGCCGTATCAACCACCGTGACTGGATTCGTGCCTATAGATTCCCAACTGCGAAGACATGTGCGAAGACACCCGTTTTTTAATGAATGGAAGGTTGGAAGAAGGGTTGCTTTGTTTTTATTATATGTGTCTGGGGAAAGTTGGGGATCGTTTTTTGGACGTTCGTGAATTTGTGAATTGAATGCGATAATGTAAGAGCATATTTTGAATCTAGATTATCCATTATTATTTTTTTTTCTTTCTTTCTTTTCTTCGTTCAAATTAAATCAGTTAAGCTGATTTAAGTCTGAATAGATACATTAAAATAAACATGGTTTATTTAGTATTTAAAATATTAAAAATTGAAATTACAATATATATTTTTTTATTTAAAAAGGAGGAGAGTTTCTTCCATTCGATTCTGCGAATTAAGATAAAAAAGTTCAATGAGAGCAAAGAACGCGTGTTGGCCGTATTTCCAAAAAAGGAATTCGAGATTTAAGCTTCGAATAATTAATTCCTTGAGAGAAATATTCCCGGAGGATTTCGATTCCTGGCGTGGATAATAGGGCGTCAAACATTTTCCTGATCTGTGCCAACCTCAACTATTTATGGTGGATTCCTAAACGGATAACTTTGGAGGAGTATTAGTCACTTCACCGAGCTGCAAACTCGTGCACGTAAATTGCTCTGTTGTTCTTGCCAAAATTCCTGGATAATATTTCACACCTGTGCAATTCTCCTCTTCGTGCGTTACATTCTCCAACTTCCTTCCTCAGATGAATATATATATTTCCTCTCTTCCTTTCGAGGAATCTCTGTCGAAAAATTTTTTCAATTGTGCGACACAATCAATAAATCTTCTACTTTGTTCGCTTGTAATCGAATATAGAACGGAACATATAATTTCATAGCATCAAAATAAACGTTCGATGCTATGTGATAGATTCTCGTTCGAAACGATGAAAGAAAGAACATTTTGTCAAACAAGTTTGTTCCATTAAAATTAAATCGTTATTTCTATTGAAATTCAAACGTTTAGTCAGCGGTTTCCTGGCGGAACGATTTTCTCTCTGAAAAACCGCTTTGCAAGCACGAGTATAACGAGAGACTATCGCCCGAAAAAAATATCGAATTTTGCTTTCATCGCAATCGTCAAAAATATCCTCTCATTTGTCACGGCAAATAATTTATCGTTGTATATTATATTTATGAATGATTTGAAAAAAGTTAAAAATTTTTATATCTAAAATAACATATAATTAAACAATCAACTTTTTAATGTGTCGAAATATTTATATGGGTCGTAGTAAATATATTTGTGGAGATTAAAAATATATCAACGCGTATCTGCAATACACAATACAATGTGTTCGATTTAAAGAAGCAAATATAAAAGTTATTTTTGAAAGCAAAATTTTAATTGAAGAAACAAAGTGAACTGAAGAAAAAAGGACTCTGTTTGGGTTACCCGATATCTTAGAACGTGACCATGGATTGAATACCATATCTGCAATATTCGACTGGATCGTGGCTGTGATAGAATCATAAAGTCTGATACAGTTCCGATTACAGATCGTTCCATTTGTAGAAAAAAATTGATATTATTCTCAAAACGAAAGAAGGAACAATTGTTGCAGTTACTCGTTTATTTTCGTCATATTTCCAATTAAAATTATTGAAACCCCTCTTTTCAATTTCATCTTGAAATTTAATCCTACCAAAGAAATCCACGAACGTTAACTTCAAAATTGCTCTGAAAAGTAGATCTGGCAAACAACGAACTCCTTTTACCGAAATAATTCAAACACATCGTTAAACGTTAATTAAAAAAATGTACATATGAACGTAGATCGAATTTTAGAAAATTTATCGATTAGAATTTTATGTT